AGTATATTTACTTGAATTGATATTATTTTATTATTCTTATATAATTATTCTTATACAATTATTCTTTCTATTAATATATATCATAAGCTTTAATATATGTATTTATATTTTTATATATTTGAGATTAATAATAATTTCTTACTATTTAATTATAGATGATTTCAATTTCAAAATAATCAGATATAATATTAGAATAATTATTATAAAGAATTAACTTGATTTCTATTAATTTAATAACTAAAAATAAATGATTAATATTTAGTTTATTTTTTTTATATAATTTTTGATTTTGTATAAAATATTTTTTTAACTCTGTCAATAGTTATTTTTATTTTTTTCTTGAAAATTCATCAAATATTATTAATATATTTAGATAATTATACAATTATTCAAGTTTATATTTTATTATTTTATTTTTTAGAATAAATAATATTTGAGAAAGTAAATTTATATTAAAATAAATTCTATTAGATTTATATTTGATTGTAAAATTATATTTACAAAAAATTATTATCTAATATACTAGTTTTTCAAGAGAGTTTAACTTATTGATTAATTATTTTAGAATTAAATAATTAATAATTAATATAAATGAAATATCAGATAATAAATATAATCTAAATAATTTAACTATCCAAATTACTTTTAAATATTCTAATTTTATTATACTATATTTACTTTTTTCTTTGCTAACTCTTTTACTAATATATGTAATAATATATTTTTTCTCTTTATTATTATATTATACTAGTATAACTCCTAATTTTAATTTAAAAATATCAGTAAAAAGAATAAATAATTTTATGAAATTTGAATAAATAATAATTAATGATGACGTTAAATACTTTTAAGTAACTCAAAAGCTTTTTGTCTTCATTTTTCCTAAACTTACAGCTTTGTGAATTTTAAGTTTCCTTATTTGGAGAATGATTAGAGCGTGATTCATCATGTGATCAATTCTCTTAAATTTTCAAGTTTACTATTAATGATTTTTATGATTTATAAGGTTTGGATAAGGGTAACAGTTAGAACAGAGGGCGAGATTATATGTAAAATTGCAGTTCCGACAATTTTAATTAATATTCCAAGACAGATTTAGGCATTGGTTTTCGAGTAATATTCATTTTTCATATCTTGTGTCGGGTTTGTTTTGCCGGGTTGATCAAAAAATTTGCGCACCCCTATTGGACATGGATCACATGATGGGCTACGCTTTAACCGCTCCCTTATTTGTTGCAGAACAGATTCTGTGATTCTTATTCAATTCCATTAATAGGTAAAAAAAAATACGGAATAACGATAAAAAACATTGCGCGAGAACATTCTAGAAACACGTGCGCTCAATTTCTATATATAAAATTTGAGTTATACAATGTTTTAAAATAAAGATGAAACTTGTATAGTCAAGGATTTGGTGATGTTGTTAATCAATGCGCATACAATTTATATGTCCACGTCAAATTTATCATCTTATTATCTTGTGAAATTTACACGTGTCAGTGAAATAAGAACAACGAATTTTGTTAGTTTGAATGTTTGGTGAATTATGAGTGACAATAAATAATTGATAAAAGTAATTAAGGTGTATGTATATATATGCGTGGGGAAATGGATTATCCCAATAAAGTGAGGTTTCATTAGTTTGGCGGGTTTTTAATTAGCCAAGTGTACAGTGTATGGTTGTGCATTGATTCCGAGAGAATTTATTCAAAGAGTTGTTGATGGAAATACGCCGTCTCCTATTTAAATGATGATTAACTTAAAAAGATAACGATAATGGGTAATAAAACTAAATGATGAATTGATCGAACAATGCTTAATATTTATCGTTGGGCTCGAATTTTACGACTCAAAAAATAATTATGGAACATGCGCATACACGGCGTATGACAAAACAGTATCTGAAATATGTGAAAGATAAAGAAAAATGCAAACATTTAGGCCGGATATACATTATTATTAAAAAATATATATATATATATATATTAATGTATATATCTCGAGATATATTACTATATCAATATAATCATTTTTTAGTATGCTTGTGTTGTTGTTGTGATCGCGGAAGCAAAATGTAAATAACACAAAATAAGGATTTTGTATGTTGTTGACATGTGTATAATCAACATTGAAACTTTGCGACAAAGATTTTTTATTCTATGATAAATTTGGCTTGTATAACTAACGATAATGGTGAATGCTGTAAGGGTTTCGGATCGGATCGAGTCAATAAATCTCATTTCCTCTTCTATTTCGTATAATTAGTGCTTAGAAAGATGAAAACGTACGTCCATCCATAGACTGATGCCCATGCGACCAATGAAGGATGGGTAACTTGCTCGGTTAGCCTATTATCTATCTCTCGTATATCTCTCGGTCATTTTAGCCATCCGCCATATTGCATAATGCATACACAAGGCACATATATGTGTATATATAATAATTTTGATTTTTATGAACATTCGTTAAGCCAGATAATTATCTTGCATTTTTCTTCGAATCATTCATTATACGAAGTAATAAATAGTAGTTGTGAATGCGATATTTTGCACCATAAATTATTCTTGCAGGACATCTAATTTTAAAACGGATGCAATCAGAAAGGAACTGACAAATGCAAGCATGTTTATGTTTGAATTTAATATGAATGCAGTGCAGAAAAATAACGCGCACACATCTCGTTATTGCTCTCGTAATTTTGCTGCGGCCAAGGAAATTTTCCACATGGTCACTAATGAAGATATAACGAGCGAGAGCGTGATAAAATATAAAATATAAACTTTCTTCGTATTGTATTAATTATCGTGTGATTAATAATAAAATATTTGCGAGCTTATTTGAATATACAGTGCGTTCATTATTCATTATTCATCATACATCATACATTGATTCATTGTTCCAAGGATAGATTGGATAGACACGCTAACTTTTTCTTATTATTTACTATCTTTTTGTTCTTCCCCGCTCTTGCACAATCTTTCGCAATTCAAAAAAATAAAAGCAGGGCGAGATAGAGATCAGGATATTAGCAGTAAATAGAATTAAAATTGTTTACCCAAAGGATCTGTCGTTCATTCATTCATTCATTCATTCGTGGGTCGTCGTTTTTTTCAACAATGAGTACGACGGCAAATAATAAATAGTACACATATAATTGAACAACTACATTATATAATACTTGATTGGCGCAATGTTTTTATTTGTTTATTTACTTGTTCTAATTAAATAAAACTATTCTTCACCACCTTTTTTTGCTTCTATTATGTGCTGGGTTGCTGCTTCTTTAAAAGAATATAACTGAAAATAGTAAAAACGCGCAATAGGAAGAATAATACCCAATATTTGCATTAACTAAACATAGGAAGAATTATTATGGGAGGAACAAGGAGAAAAGTCAATTATCTCGTGAAAATTTATCTTTTTGGTATGAAATTCACGCTACTTCTGTTGCCTGCTTCTTGTCCATCAACCACATCATCAGCTGAATCGTTTGATGTTAATTCGAGTGAGATCGTACAGCATTTCAATTGAATCAAAAATCGATCTATATATCGATGATTAAAATCTTCCGTCATCATTTATCGTGATTTGTTAATTCATTAATTTGAGTTACAAAATCAGCAGCATATTTTTCATAATTCTATTTAATTAGTTAGTTTATCCGTGGTGTACTTTTTGTGAAAGAAAAGAACAATGGACAAAAGTAAAAAAAATTCATTGTATAACACACAAGCGATGACGCATTACTTGTTATAAATTGTCACGATCAATCCGGCTCAATATTAGATAGAATTCAAGGCGAGAAAGGGAGTCGAGATTTCGTTGAAAATTTTTTTTTTCTTTAGCCAGATAATCCGTTCGGTTTTTTTGACAGCTTCACACAACAACAACACATTTTATATTTTTTCAGATGTTGCTTCTTTTTTTTGCACGTTCAAGAATCCTTATTTCAACCCCACCAAAATTTAAATCAATTGCGCTATCATAATACTACACACAGACTCTGTCTGATTTACTTTCCTAGATCTCTCTCTCTCCACACACATATACACACTCATACACACATATATTGCTCTGCCATATGCGCTTCACCCTTTCACCACACAAGTGTCGCACATAATCTTTCCTCCTTATCGGTCCCTTTGGCGGCTGTGGGTACCCTGGATTTTTCAAGATCCGTATTGGGTTTTATTTACTATATTGTTTTTTCTCGCTACTTCCCATTTATTTATTATATAAATAAATATTACATTATTCTTAATATATATTACTAGTATTGAATGATGATGATGATGTCACCCCAATCTTGTCGAGAAGTATATCCTTTAAATGGTATCAATCAACGCCCGCCTTTTAGACAAAAATTGAATGCCTGACACAAGCTTCCTGGTTGAATTTATCTTTAAGTCAACTGCTTATTTTTTTGAACCCTTTTTTTTGTGTCAAGGAGAATAACCCTTTTTCCATTTTGTTTTTCCTTAGTCATTAACTCTTCAAAAAGGACGGTTTACTGCCTTCTCCTTCATAGACCACAATCACATACTTTCGGCGTTTTATCCAATTTTTTTTTTGTGAAAAACTTTCTTCGTTTCTTTTAAACACTCTGATATTTTACCCGACTGTCACCTGTGAAAAGCTGATATATACATAAATACATATATATACACAAGTATATATATATATATCTCATTTAAATATATATGTAATCTATATATCATATCTTATATTTAAAAATTCTATAAATATCTCTTAAAGGTTAACGGCGCGAGTTAACTTTTTCCAACGTTGTAAATATCAAACAATATACCTGTACAATAAACAAAAGGGTTTTTAACCACACAAAGATTTTTGTCTTTCGCTGCGCGATAAAAAATTTAACTATAACGACGGTACTACAATTTGTTTAACGAGCATCCCGCCCGAGAAATTATTCAAAGATTCGTCGTCGTCTCTAGAGAATTAATATTATCACTTAAGAAAGACAGAAACAACAACGGTAAATGGCGTCGGCAGTTGACCACCACGTCATCATCCCAAACAGCAAGTCAGCATTCAATCTCCAAGAGCAAATAACGTCGTCCGACCAACTGAAGCCTAAAATGCTGATAGAGTGCGAAAACAATGACAATGAAATAAATGCGCCAGCGGCACCTAAAGAGCCGATTTCTTCCACTACTCTAATGGAAAAATTAAAACAAGATTCTTTTCTGGAAACCCCACCTTCCCCAGGAACCTTGCAGAATCCACCTCCACCTTACTCACAATGGGATGAGTTAAATATAGAACAATTATTACAAAAAGGACGTGAAGAATTAAATGTTCATTCGGAGTATATAGCGCAAGGTAGCGGTAATCAAAAAGAAAACAGCGACATGCTTGACAAGGTAAGCTACCTTTCGTACCCAGTACGTTTTCTCCTTTATTATTTTCTCTCTCTTGCTTGTTTTTGTCGTAATAGACAAACAGACAGATGTAACTGTATTTTTTTGCGCTTTGTTTATTTGTCTATCTGTCTGTCTGTCTAGAAAAAAACGACGTAATGTGATGATGATCTTTTGCTTTTCGCAATAAATAAAATATACAAATATTTATATGAATTTTTTTTTTTTAGATGACTCAATTGGAATCTTTGGTATCGTCTTTGCAATCGATTCTTAGTGATCAAACATTTGCAATGCACGATCTGAGATCACAGTTATCTGAGTATGTAAATTTTTTGTATTGATTTATTGTTTTTTTTTATTGCACATCAATTAATTTTTTTTTCATGCATATAATTTAGTATTCAGGGGGTCCTTAAGAAAATGCAAGACAAACAAGAAACGATGACAAGTGAAGAGGTGATGAAACAAGTAGTCACAATGAAGGTAAACTTATTTGGTGATTTATAAATGTGCAGCATTTATCAATAGGAAAATAACAATTTAAATTTTCTTGAAAAAAGACACTTACGGAGAATATCATTGCGTCAAGCGAAGTAAAAAGACAACTCGATGCCAGTAATTCATCAGCAACCGCAGCAGCTATTGCCGCCGCCGCCGCCGAAATTATTAAAGTTGAACAAGAAATACAACAACAACAGCAAAAGCAGCAAAAGCAACAAAAACAACAGCAAACTATTCAACAAAAAGTATCCGAAGAAGTAATTCCTTCTTTTGAATTAAACGCCCAACCTTCTTCGTTAGCAGTTGTCTTACAACCACCCTCGAGACCAACGTCGAGACCAACATCTCGAGCTGCCTCAAGACAAGCATCACGTGCAGCATCACGTGCCCCATCACGTTCGGCTTCGCGTACTGTCTCTCCAAGTCGCACACCCACAATTTCACGTACATCCTCGAAGCTTCCTTCGACACCTGTATCTCCGTCAATCCGTCCTTATAAAGTCTCAACAATGAACACAATAAATGAGAATGGTGATTATAACGAAGATAGTGATAGCGAGAATAGCGTGGCCTTTGAAAGAATGTGTAGTATACTTTCAACATTGATTACTGAAGCGACTACCGCGGTCGAAGCGCCAGTCAAAGGACGAGAGAAGAAAGTGAGACAGGACTCGAATGCGAGTACAATCTCGAGAGATTATTTCGAGGATTTTGACTGGGATGCATTAGCGGATGATGATGAAGAAGCCTCCGAACAAGCGGAAGTAGTTGAGCCTCAGCTCAACTTATTAAGGGAACCGAGAAGAAAAGATAGAATAATTAATCATAAACGATCGAGAAGTAGAAAAGAACAAGAGTTTGAGGAGAGCTTCAAAACATTAGATTCAAGCCTAACGCAAGTACAATGCCTAATTACCGATATGACAGATGAATTGATGGAGGAAGAAGATGCGGTTATTGTTCAAGACGATAATGGAATGTATATTCGCGAAGTTAAAGATAAAAATGGTGTTGTTATCCGTCAAGAGATTATTCGCCCAGAATATCTCGCTCAAGAGCAAATGGATGTACCATACACTGATCCGACAATGGATCTCTTGAATAATCCAAGCGCCGACTTAGCGGATTTGGATGACTTTGCACAACAATGTCGACTTATAACACGTGCACTCATCCTTCCGTTTTTACACGCCACTCATTCATTTATGTCCGAGTCTCTCCAAACCTCGAACAGGTCAAATGCGCCAAAATCAGTTAGCGGCACTACAAGAACTTTTATGAATCTTATGTACTGGACATTCTTGTTCACTTTGGGATCATTAGTTCTTGATGCTTGGCTCTGTGAAGTGGCAGGAAGACAAGTTATTAGAATGGTTGACATGCTGAAACCTGGACCACCTTTTCAATTCGTTCAAAATCAAGGACCTGTTTACGGGATCCAGAATGAATATCCTCAAAATTATCATCAAGAAAGTAATGCGGATAGTAAAAAAAAAAACGTCAAAATTCGTACGGGCATTAGATTGAAGTCGGTCTCTTGGAGAGGAGTGGGAGTAGGTGTTGGGGGTGGACAAAGGTGGTTGAGAAATGGTGTTTTGAGTCTTGGTAAAAAAAGTAGAGGTTTATTAACAGGAGGATTAAATAAAATACACCATAGATCAATGTTGTCACATGAGTGGGGAGATGAGGATATAAGTGAGGAAAGTGATGAATGGGAAATTGTAGATTTTAGTAGTGACGAGGAGAATGAAAGTGTGACTGGGGAAAGTAGCGAGGATGATCCGGCATTACTATTGCGATATCGTATTACGAGTGAGCGAATGAAGCGTGCTGGACACGTAAAAACCATCTCTAATCCTATTGATACAAAAAAGGAAGAAAAAAGGAAAACTACTAATATTCAAGAAAATGAATCATCATCAATATCCAATAATATTAATAATATTAATAATCTTAATAATAATTATAATAATACACCTTATCTCGATACACAAGATGAAGAAATGGGCGAACTTCATTATCATCAGCAAGATCCTTTATCAATTGAAAAACCAGCCGAAATTGTGTCAAAAGAAACAATTTCATTATTAGAACAAGATCTAGAAAATAATAATCATTCACAAGAGAATTCAATATCAAACACGATGATGGAAGAAGATGATAAAGAAAACAATGAAGAAGAATCATGTGAAGAAAAGACACTACAAGAATATTTCAACAATGAAGATGTTGATCTTCAAATACCTGGTTCCTTTCCAGCTGAACTCAGATGGGACCCATCATCCATAGCGACGACTTCTACGATAAATTCAACAATAATGGAAACCGATGAATCAGATAAAGAAAATGTACGACGAGTGCGGAGTGTCGTACTTCGACGACCTAGACGTAATGGTCCATTTGGTGGTAGTGGCGGGTTTTGGGTAATGCAGACTCGCAAAGTTCGAAAAAGGTCATCGAAAAAGAAGAGGGATAATAGGCCACACTCGTTTTATTCATTATCTTCAAGTAATAAAGAAAACGAATTTGCCGATCTTCTAAAAAGTCCAAATACAAAATCAAACCCAAGCTTTAAAAAGAAGAAAAAGTCAGCATCGTATAAAAATTGGGTGCGGCGAAACAGTATATAGTCTTTAAGTTTTCTTTATTAATTGTTTTATATATTATGGACCTTGAATTTTTTTCGATTTCTTTTAAACGAACATTGCCACCACTTGTTTGCTGATCACGTGTATAGACTATTTTGGTATCAGCAACTTTGTAAATCTAGATTTAAAAAAATTCTTGTTGGACAATTTTTCTTTGGTTTTCATCTTCCTTTAATTTTTCTTTTATATAGATGTTTTTATCGTTCGGTCGCTTTTTACTTGACCTTAGACACCTTAGAAAAGTATAAACTACCGGTTTTCTTTAATTATCCTAGATTATTTTGACTGAGTTGTTGTCTTTATCATTTTTCACTCCATCATTCCATTTACGATTTTTTTCGATCCTTCAATCCGTCTATTGATTCGTTCGCCTTTTCAAAATTCTTTGTATTTATATTTTTTTTTAATTTTTCCTTTTTTTTGTAATTAGTTTTTTTCCTTCCTTCCTTCTTTTTTTATTTTAAATTATTTTCTTTTTTTTTCTTTCTCTTTACACATAAATTATATTGATCAATCTACGCTTCTTTTTTCTTCGATCTTACCACGCGTAGTGCTTGTCTCCCGACTATCCATATCATTATATTTTTCACCATTTCATTTGGTTGAAACTTTTTAAATAAAACCTTTTTCTCGTTATCTATTATTAATTCTAATAATGAACACGATTCTTTTCATTTTTCTTTCGTATTATTATTTTGTATAAATCTTTATCTCTCGAATCTCACTTCATTTATCCAAACATTTTTTCGGTATTGTTAGATAGGCAATGATTATCACAACTATGTGTTGTATATTTATTTCGTTGGCCTAATTATATTATAGGATCTCGTGCTTATTTCTATGTTACAGATTATTATTATATACTCTGTTTTTTTTGTTTATTTTTTTTTACGATTCTTCTATTTTTTTCGGGATTTTTTGAATTTTATAGGAAAAGGTTTTATCTATCTATAGGGTTTTGCCAAATTTTTATTTATCATTATTTATATTTTACATTATCAATTCGATCACATTGTATAGACGGATTGTTTGTATTATTGTTATCTCCACATATAAACACGAAATACAACTCGCATAATTAAAGAAATGTTATAAAAACTAAAGATTTTGTGGACGTCTCGTAATTTTTTACTCTAAATTTTGAGCTTTTTGATCTTTAGTTGAGGTGATAATATGGTTACCGTATTCTCCGGAAATAAGCCTCCCACTTTAGATCAAAAAGTAAGAAAATTATGAATAATTAAAAATTACAACGACGATAATTTTTCTTGAGCCAAGATGATGATTTTGTTTGGGTTGAGAAGCGAACAAATCTTCCTTATATTGCACTAATTTAGGAATAAGCATAGCATCACCAATGTTGATTGAGTGCCATAGATATTCAAGAAACTGTCCAGAAATAAGCACCACCCGGAGCCCAAAAAACGAGCAATCAAGTGGTGCTTTTTTCCAGTAGAATACAATAACGTAATGTGGTGAAGTGGTGAAGCTGTTTGATAAACTGTATTCATTTATTAACAAATCAGAGACAAATACAATGCGTCACCATGGATTAATACTGTTCACTTGGGTTTTGTATTAATGGATAACATACTAGATATATAGAAAATATGTAATATCAAATAGATAACAGAATAAATGTTTATTGTAAATTTTATTTTTCGACACTAATTTCAAATATCAAAGCCAATAAATAATAGAATAAAGTATAATAAAAATAATTAAATAAATCTAAAGTTAATAAACTCGTATATATATACACATATATATCACTTATTACACCTACCTAATTATTGTTTGTGTTTTTTGTACCCTGGTGAACAGTGAATTCCTGGTGACGCGTGTAATAAGGCACAATAATAAAAGATAAAATTCAAAAAAATTGGGTTATTATCTTTAAGATTTATAAATATTAGGAGGCAACAGACAGCTCACTATTGTTAGGGGGTTGTTCGCCACCTCCACCACCACCTTCACTATCAACAGGCAATTGATCAGCAATATCATCATCGCCCCTCTCTTTAACACCATCTCCTTCCTTATTATTCGAACCAAAATCAAACATTTCCAAAATTTTATCGATCGCTCGAGCTAACTCCCCATCACTAGCCTGTAGTACAGCCTCGCGGACTTCAGCATCAACATTCTGGAATATTTGTTTGAGCGTTTTAAGTGAAGATTCATACGTTGCTGCACTAACGCGGGCTAATTCTTCTTGCATTTCTGAGTATTCATTTGAATTGTCTGATGTACGAGAAGAATGTGAAGACACAGAAAGAGAACGTTCTCTTGGAGAGGATTGTGATTGCAATGATGACGAGTTTTCAATTTTCCCAATCCCTCCAATCCCGTATAGCGATGAAGATCTAGGCGGCAAAGGAGGGGGTTCGTTGATTAAGGGTGGTCGATGGGGTGAAGTACTTGGCGATGAGGATTGCGAGGACGAACGAACCTCCAATGTGGAACCGATTGTTCGGACACCGGCTTCAATTTCATTTGTCACGTCTGCTATAATCTTTCCGAACATATTTAAGGGCATTTGTATCGTTCGCTGTGCAAAGTTCTTACCATTCTCGTATAATGCTCGAGCTTGTGCTGGATAAATTATTGGCGATCGGGCTGGCAGCGCAGATTTTGAAGGAGGTATAACATTATCGTAGCTAATGATGGAATCATTCGCTTCCGGTTTTGGACGTTCACTTTCCAATTCTTTCATTGTTATCTCAATATTTCTAAATATCAAGCATTAAAATGAGAACGTATAGGAAACTTAAGAGCAATATTAATAATTTATTCTCATTATATTTACTTGTCAAAGTCTTCTTGGGTTATTGAAAGTGAAGATACATCCATGTTTTCAATAAATGCGATAGCACCCATCTGTGTACGAGGAAAGAATAAATTAAAAAAGTGTTGAAAAAAATCCTAATCAATCTGAAAGAAATCTTACCAAGCTTGAGAGGTAATATCCAGCCTCTGATTGCAATTTCTCGGGATTCCTGAATCGTGATATATACCTGAAATACGACAAATCAAGAAATGTCTTTAAAATGGAAAAAACATGCGGGGCATACATAACATATATAAGTCAAATTAATTAGCATACACGCAATGATCAACTTACTGGACGTTCGAGACCAAATGCTCAGGGTTCGCTCGTAATACCACATATATTAGGATTGGTAAAAACTTATCAGCGCCCTCTTCTCCATCCACCTTTCTTATCAAGCCTAGCCGCAAGAAGGTGAGAGATTAATCAATAAGAAAACAAAATAATAATTATCATGGATATTTAATGAAATGAAAAACTTACGGAATATAACCTTACAGCAGTTAAGGATACAGATAAGCTTATCTCGTGGTGCTTTGTATGCATTTAATTTTAATAATTCTAATCATTTCGTAAAACGAGAATGTTTTGTTTTTAGACCATAAATTTTATTCTAAATACAGAAAAACCAATAAAAAATAACTACCTTCTTGAGCAAGCCCAAGAAATGATTCGTTATGCTGCGTCAAAGGAATATCTAGATGTTCCTCTTTCACCCAACGAAATATCTGAATTTTTTGATGTAATATTTCGTCTCGCTCTCTATCGTCGGTTGTGACAGGTCCTTTAATCGCGGGAGTAAAAGTCCTACGATAGCAAATAATTCATTAATAAATACAAAGCTTAGTGAAAGATATTGCAATCTAAAAATAAAATAGCAAACCTTACAATGAATATAAACGGTTCATCACTAATTTCTCTATCCCTTCTTTGGCGTTTTCAAATTCTTGTTCAGAGACATCACGCCATATTTCACATTCTCGCATTTCTATTGGAATAAACTAAAAAATAAAAGTATTTGAATCTTTCACGTGAATTATTATGTCAAATAAGTTATTCAATAACATACGTCCAAGAAATCATGAACTATTCTTATTTGTTCATTAATTGTAAATGGTTTTCGCTCAAATTCTCTCTGAAAACTACATAAGAGCGCGGAAAAGCTTTAGTATATTAACGTAATGTAAGAAAATTACGAGAAGAGAATTTCCCACTTTTTTAAAATGCGATTGATTTTGTCGGCACGTCGATGCTTCATTTGTTCCAAGAACCGATTGAAATCAAACGGTAAATCTTGTTGCGGAGACGGTTTAACACCTAGATTTTGTTGTTTAACTACATTTTCTACGGTGTTGAGTGGCGTTTCATTAGGGGCTGCGGACTTTTCGTTAAAGTCTTTCTCTTCAGACGCTTGTTTTTCGTCAATTTGTTGTTTCTCGCTTTGGTTTTCGTTTTCTTCAACGTATGGTTGCTTTTCCTCAGCCTGAGGCACCTTTTCTGAGTCTGATAAACTCATTAGTAAGTAAATGTCAAGTAAGTGTGTATTTAACAATAATTTAATGGCAATAGTGAAAGAAGTGTGAAATTATCTGAATTTGATTTATGCGTAACATACAGTAATAGCCATGCGATGAAAGCGATACATGAATAAACAATAAATATATATGGTTCCTGTCGATCCGATAAGTTTCACGAAACAAATGCGTATCGGACTCATATTCTTGAACAGCGGTTTTTGAAAGCATTTTGATGTTTACTCGCATTCCCTATACCTGATCTTATACATAAGCTTTACATTTTAGAACAGGTCATTTGCGCTCATTAATGAACCGTCGCCTTCGAGGAAAACGAAATTGAGGATAGCATACCATTTTTGGACTACCACTACAGAGATTGGAACCCAAATATATGCATACTTTTTGGCTGAATATCTATAATTCGAAATTGGATGTCGATACATCATAGTGTTGTAAAAGACGAAGCCTATGTTAGCCATTTAGCAAGTAGCCATCTAATGAAGTCGAGTATAGAGTTCGATAAATTATGTGGCAAGAATTTAGACACCGGACTAAGGAAGCAAAAGCCTTTTTTCTATAATTAAAGCGAATCATTTTATGATAAGCCAAAGACTGGCTCTACACGAAGAGGAGAAGTTTGTTTTCTATTGCACAAGCCGGGGAACAAAGAAATAATGATATATCAGAAATTTGATTTGACATTAGATCCTTTGATACGTCATAACAAGACCCACCTATTAATAATAGTGTATTATGTTTATTACATTGTTTATCTGGACTACGATGGTTATTATAGTTCCTATCTATGACGCCTACAGATCTAGAGAAACAATTCTCGAAATATTGCAACCTACATTGAATTAGATAGATCTGCTGTCATTGGTGTTATTTGCTCGGCATAACTTGTATTATCATAAGTGATAATATTAGTCTTTCTGTGTCAAGTGTTGGTTAGGAGCTCACAACGAATGAATTTTATTATTTACATAGAAATTCATTATTTTTTTGCATTTCAGACGGAATACAATCGTTAAATAAATTTTTTTTGATTAATTTCCAATCGAGTTTGATAAACCACGTATCCACAAGCAAACACCAACAATGTCAAAAATAAATACATTATCCACATCCATGTCGATGTAGTAGACTCGACAGCTTGTGAATTAGCGTCCATGATTACTTTTTGTGTTTGATAGTGTTGTCCGGTCACTCGAGCCTTTTTTTTCGATGATAAGAAAAATTTTTTTTTCAAGAGTTAGAATTTAGAAGCGCTCTTTAAAAAATACCAAAAAAATAGACTTACATCTAAAGCATCAAGTTTCTGTATAATACGTTGTAATTCATCTTTAAAGTCGGGATTTGAGTTATCATGTGCGGCTGATCCTACATGAATTATACGTGCTTCTAAGCCACCTATCCCACTAATTATTCTATCGAGTTTTTGACTAGGAAATAATTAGGGTGGTTACCATTTAGAGATTAAATGAAATTTCAAATAAAAAAAGACGAAGGATCCAAAAACTTACATGACTGTAGTCAAATGGTGACCTTCGCCTTGGGATGGAAACCCACCGGTGTGGGGGAAATTATTTTGCTTCACAGTTGCTACATTATTGCCTAAATGATCGATTTGCTCTTGTATCACCTCAAGGGTTTCAAGTATCTGAATTTGCATTCCCTTTACAAAATCTAAGCTTCTCTGAATTATTTTATCAAGCAAGTCAAAAAGATCGACAAATTTAATCAAAGATATAATACATCGATATATAATAGACAAATCTTATACTCACTGTATCTTCATCTTTTGATTCTTCGGTGTTTGAATTCACGACTTTGGTAACTTCCTCAATTCGCTATAGTTGACGGTGCATCAGTTCCGATTTGTGGTTCTTAGAAGATCGAAAACCAATTGATGAAGACTTACTTTTTGTACATCTTCCGGAATCACGTACTCTTCTGGCGACTGTAGTTTAGAATTCGCCTCTTCGTGTGGACGTAATGGTACCTAAGAAATAAGTGGCAAAATCAATTACATCAACTTTCACTGTTCAGAGGCGATATTCAAAATTAAGGATTGGAGCCGAATGAAAAATCACTGCCCGGGTGATATTATTAGATTACCCGGATTACCCGGTAAATTGTTATATATTTCGGGTAGCCATATAATAGTCCTTTTTTTACCCGGATCCAATCTCTAACTTAAAAACTTACATTCTGCTTTGGTGGTGGATTTAATTCGTATAATTCAAAAGATAACACGTCGTGATCATCTAAAATGAAACATATTATTTTAATTAATTCAGGAACTGGGGGATCTTCCTCAAATAAATACGAGAAACTTTAATGATTACCTGGTGTGCCACCTTCAGCAGCTGCCTAAATAGAAAATTATCCTGAATATAAAAGGTAGAGATGGTGTATGTATGAAACGAATGAACAAGAGTAAAAAAACTTACGGAAAGTCCAAAATAATATCCGGTCGGAATTTTAATGTCATTTGCTTCAAAACAATTAAGGTAATGTTGTCCGTTATTATTTGCGTCAATAGCCAACTAATTGGAGTATAATTGATCTTATGAATTTTAAATGATCTACGTAAGTAATAAGTTTATCAACTAATCAACCAACCTTGATTGTATCGTTATAATAGGTTACTTTCACATGGATGGGAGATGGTGCGTTACGAAATTGTCGATAACAGCCGCCAAATGCACGTTTATCAGGGTCCGTTAAATTACTGTAGATCACTTTGCCATCATTCTGTTGAGCCATAATAAGTGGATGTGCACGCTAATAAATTCAAAAACCCAGCATCATGATTAACAAATATCTAAATACGTAGCAATGATAAGGAATTTTTCCTTTAGAGTGAAAGGTAATATTCGAGAAATTTCGAAAAATAAATCTCACATTTCGCGAAGCATCTGCCGTTTCAAAAAAAATTCCTATTCCCTCCCATTGATCTTTGCTACCAAGCACGGGACCGAGTTCACCACGGTCTTTTGTGTACCAAAACCCAATCCCTCGACCACCAATATAATAATTGCCATATATTTTAAAGGTAAATTCCACTTCCCACTCTTTGTAAGTGTTTGGTAATTGTGACCATATTGCGCCTGAATGGTTTGGTACACTCGGTGCTAGTCTGATAAATTCCTGGGCTAACAATGCGTCTATTTTAAGATATATGAGTCAGATTCTTTAGCATTATTTGTTTGAATTGATAATTATTATATCAATTTAATGAATGGTGAGATATTATTTTAAGCTGCCAGTCATTACAAATTCCAAATTCGGTAAATGAATAAAAACAGAAATTCTAAACTTAAAGTCGCGACTCCTTTTGGTCTTTTCAATACTATTTGTAAAAGTAGCACGGGACATTTAAAAAGGAAAACAAAAACTCACTCCCAAATGTGTCAAAGAACGGAACACTTTCATTATAGGTGTATGGTTTTTTAAAAGTATGCTTATAATCGTGTCGTCTTGGTATGGTTGAAATATTTTCTGCTGCATCTTGTGAAGACTGCGCTTTTACACGCGTAAATTCTATCATTAACAACAAGAAAAGTATTGCCAAAAACGGTTTTGTCATTATGAAAGTTGACCTGAATGTAATAATAATACAACTCTAATGCTATAGTTAATTGGTGATAATATAAAACAAAAAAATAGCCCTCTTATATTCATAGCAAAACAGGGCGAACTTTAGAAAAATTTTGTGGCTTGAGTCATCCATTTCAATTGTTAGGGGTATGCAAACCAGACATTTCGACTTTTTTTCAATTAATGACACGTGTACCAATCATCTTGCGAGTTATAATGTTATTTAGAATTTAGAAAACTTTATAATGCGACGCACAGTCAGTATCACTGATCAATTCATAACCATAACGATAACGATAATAATTATTTAAACAATTATAGGAATAACAGGATCGGCGAATAGTCCACGCAATATATTTACATTGTCAAACTGCTTAAATAATCAATTGTTAGAAGAATGAAAAAATATCAATCAAGATCCAACATGTCTTCTGGAGTTTGACAAGCCGCAAAGGGAAGCTCATGCGGAAGAAACAATTCAATTCATTTTGATCCCACTTGACGCGCTAACAATGTTTTGCAGATAACGATAAAAAATTTTCTTGTCAATCTCAACTTCAGATTTCTAACGTTAAAAACCTTTTTTCATATGATAACTTAATGACCGGTTTTCGCCGGTGCAAAATAATACTAATGATTATCCACAACGGATACTCTTTGAATTTCGTGTTGATTTCGAACTAATCACTAATTCTCTCAAAGTTCTTTTCAATCAGAAACATAAAATCATTCTTGAGATTGCCAATTAACAATTATTCAATTCATTTGCACTTTCAGTTAATATCTTTCTCTTAAATTCTTTGGAGTTACATTAATACGGAAGTCTAAGATGTTTCGTTGAATTATATATATACTTGGATATAAAAAAAGCATAGGGAAAATAAAAAGATTCACAGTTCGCAAGTAAAGCTACTCGCAAATGTTCTTGACTACAGGCTAGGGACGAGGCGTTCCCAGAATGAAAAGCAAATTGAGCGGAAATTTGTGACTCTCATTTATTCATCAATTCCTTCCTTCTGTATGATACTGAAAATCCGTACCACATATACCAAAATGTTATATGCATACCTATCTGCACCCTGAATCCGAACCCTAAACCAAATAAATGAAGTAAATAAAAACTGGAAAAAAAAATAAATTCAAAATTCAACAAAAAAAGACTTTCAATTTTGAAACGATTGACCATCTCATTTCGACCATACCATACCAAAATGTTCAATCATATCGATGTGCTGAAGCAAATCAAGTTAAATATTTTTTTTTTATATGCGGTAAATCACTTGATTACAGATTACAGTTTCTACCAATTAAATCGAAACTAGTTCTAACTATATCAGGATTAAGATTACAGAAAAACGAGAGAGGGTGCGAGAGAAATATACATACATATAAACATAGAGAGGAAGTGAGAGAGAGGGAAAACCTTAATAATTAAACAGAAAAAATACATAACTAAACAATAATTATTAAAAAAATATAAAGCGCTAAAAATTAAAGATATCAAAAAAGAATGTTTAAAAGAAAGCCAAGCTTATCAGCACCACCACCACTCTCATTCTCCGATGTCCTTAGTGACCTTTCAAGCTTACAAAGTTATTATGACAATAAGAATGGAGAGAAATTTGTAGACATTTTGGAAATTGTGGGCGAGAATAAGCAGGATAATGATGATAACGGCGATACTAATGCTGGTGGTACTGCTAACGCGAGAGGTAATATAGAAAATGGGTGTGTTTTAATCAATTATAGTTGGGAATAAGAATTAACGAAATTTTATTTAAAAAAAGAGGATTCTGGTGACTCCTCCTCTTCTTCGTACATGACTTCTAACTCTAACAATCCAAGCATCACCTCTACACCACCATCCTCCTCCCCTTCAATTATCGAACCTCAACAACACCAACTTCTTGACACGACTTTTGATCAGTGTAACGAATTTATTAGTATCAATAACCAATTAAACGATTCACAAGGGAAACTTTACGCGTTAGGAACAGAAATCGATTCGTTGCGAAATGAATTGGACGAAATTGTCACGACGATCGAACGTGAAAATGTTGATGAACTAAGCGTCGAAGTTAATGAGCATGACGTTGATACCGGCGAGATTGCTAATAAGCCAATTGGGGAGTAAAGAAAAAAGAAAATTACGAGAAATTATTATAAAAAGAATATGAAATCGCAAATTCTAGAGATTTTTAAGATTAGTTTTTATTTATTTGTTTGTTTGTTTGTTTATCTATTAGACTTTATTTATTTATTTGTTAGAATCTTTTTAAGTTCTTTTTCTTTCCCTCCTTTTATTTTATTCATACCTTTACACCTCAATTCTTTTGAGGTAGAGAGAGAGAGATATATATATATATATATATACGCAAGAGAGTTTTACTCCATTTTGATTATTGAACTAAAAAACCCCCCAAATGATTATCATTAGAATATTATTGTGCAAAGTCACGACCGGACAAAATACGATCATTTGCTCAATAATAATAGATATTTCAACCTTTGGTAAAAAGGCTGACTCGTTTACTTATCCGAACATCGATTGAGAATACTTTCTGCTAAAAGAATCAAAGCAATAATTGTTTAATATTTGTTGTTATCGCAAGCCTTGAGCTCCCAGCCTCTTACAAATAATAATCACGAACGGATAATAACAACAACAACAATAAATAACTACTGCTTGTGAACAGAAAAACCTTGTGACTCAATCTTTTTATCATATACCACACGCGATTTTGATTAAACATCTAATATCACTGATAAGAAAATCCAATCAAAATCTACTCGATGATGTACCAAAAAGATCTACTTTTGAAAAAACTTCGAACAATGCTACACTTTTCGAACGTGTTCCCCATAAAGAAGGCTTTTGCATTTATAACTTTTATAGAACGCAAAAGATTAGCGCGCAATTATTTTCATACATTCAAAAATCCGCTCTTTGATCGTCGTCGGAAATTGACTCAAAAGCCGTATGCCCCAATAACTCACGAAAAAGACACAATAACACCCTCTCTGAGTGCTCTTGGTGCCAGACTACGTCTTTCCTTCTCTAATCCCGAATTACTCTTACAGGTTGTTACTGATGAATCATATCAAAACACTGACTATGAGTCTAATAAAACCTTATCAATTCTGGGTAAATAAATCGTTTGCTTATGTGCATTAATTGAATTAATTGCTGACGAAAAGTCCTCATTAACGCTTTGCTTTTTAATAAAATAGGAGAGCATGTATGTCGTCTATTTGTTACCGAATATTTTCATATAAAATACCCGCTTATGCCTTTACCTGCTTTGGAAGAGGTAATAAAACTTTACACCGGTCAACAAACATTATTGAGCTTTGGAAAGGAAGTTGGATTATCTCTTGTGATAAGGTGGGAAAAGGTTTGACGTCGTCACTGTTTTATTTCTTTTGCTCAACCAAAAAAATCCTCCAATATTACACGAATATCACGCATGCATTTATCACAACAGAAAGATTTTTAGATTACAGATTTGAAGAAAGCTCAGCAATCAAATGCTGCCTTACCGCTGAGCACTACACCAGGTATCGCATTAATGCGGTCGATTCACGCAATTGTTGGTGCGCTTTATCAAGATAAGGTTAACTTTGATGATATATATTATAATTATTAAACGTATGAGATGTCGTATAAGTATCTTATCATTTAACTCCAGGGCCCATTAGCTGCGAGAAACTTTGTTCATTCATATTTACTATCAAGAGAGGTGAAAATAGATTTAGTCTATGAAAAATCTTGTGCTAAACTTCCCAAAAGAGAATTGTCTTTGTTAATGCAACGGCAAGGTAAAATCCCACCGATTTCAAGGTAATGCACGTCATTAACGCCTGTAAGTGAAGAATATGTATTAATATATTAAATTTTAGAATGTTGAAGGAAACAGGTCGTAATACGAATAGTCCCATATTTATTGTCGGTGTATTTTCGGGCACAGAGAAAATTGGGGAAGGATACGGTAGCAATATAAAGATGGCAGAATTTAGAGTAATTTCGTTTGTTTATCATAATTTTCCTATATCTTTCTTCTTCGAATACCAACCAAAATTTTATTGGCATTTTTTTAGGCTGCAAGAGATGCTTTGAAAAGCTATTACTTGACCGAAATAAAAGATTTTATTCTACCATCCGATGTTGTTAATGAGGATGTAGAATACGGACCAACCGAAATTGGTGATACACCCGTCATTGTCTGAATCGGCGCAAGATTTCAATTTATTTAAATTTTTTAGTGTGCAATTCCTCTTAAATTATCCTCGCCAAATTTTTGAATCATTATTTTTCGCCCAGTGATGAAATCGCGAGACTACTTATTGAAATTTAATAAGGTGTGAATCGTCTTGCGGCTTTTAACTGTGCGATTTTCTGTTTGTCTTGCTCGAATTTTTTACGTAATTCAATCAGTTCTTGTAAAAAAAATAATGGTCAGCAATTTAATTTTTGCGTTCATTAAGCGAAGGATTTCAATAACAACATACTGTTTCTTTTAGTCTCACGCAATTGAAATCGATAAAAATCAGTTAACTCTCGTTTTTTTGGCTTAAGATTTTTAATATCCTCGGCTTTGGCTGCAGTTACTGCAATCCCACCGTCCGTATTAATGTTACGTCTGGCAGTTCTAGTCACTAGAATAAATCCGTCTTCATCGGGTTTATTTAAGTTAGCTGCCAACTTTCGTTGTCGTTCTTTTTCGGCTTCTTCGTATTCTAACATAAATTTATCAACCTCCGCTTGAAGAATATCGGGAGATTTTCGGAGCAATTTATATTCTTGTATCCATTCTAGAGTAACGCATGATAAATGATAAGGATTTCGTTTTTCATAAAGTTATTCCAATTAAATACAAAGGCAAGCTCGATAAACCAAATTCGGTTTATCCAGGATTTTAATCAGCGCTTCGTTTTATCCGTCTTCAATTTATCGAGAGTGCCTTTGTATTTATAGAATATATATATACTAACTCTCTAGTCCTAAAGGAGGAATCTTTTCAACACCAGCACTCCATATTCTTTTCTCTTGTTTCATATTTAGAGCGTTGGTAAGACCTTCTTTCTCCTCGAAGATAACAAGGGCCGAAGAACCATGGGTTAGCAATTGCCTCATCAATACTACTTCAGCATTGTTAATCTTTTGCTCGAGTTTTATTAATATTTGCCGCTGCTTCTTTTTTTTTTTCTTTTTCGATTTCTTTCCATCTATTAACGATGAAGCAACAGCTTCATTATTTACGTCTTCCGTTGTTTCATCCTCCTCCAAATTATTATCTTTTGGGTACTCGTCGTGCAATTTCAGCACCCCTTGAAAAATCACACTTTCCACATTCCCACATTCTTTGAATAAATGCTTTATATGTTCTTTAGTCGCGTCTACTGGTAAGTTTGAAATGAATAAAACCCTGTCGATAGGAGTATCCGGGCTATTTTTACGTGTTTCGTGCTGTTTTATATAGCAGTAATGAGTTGGTTCAGGGGGGCCGTTGATGACTTTTGTCGTGAAAGGTATTATTATTGGAAGTATTTTAAAGCCAGTACGAGGGATCTCGGGTAGTGGCTCCGGAACTCGTGAAACTTCAATAGCATCATTTTTTTTCTTCCTTGAAGAAACAGGCGTTGAGTCTTTGATTTTCTCCTGCTGCTGTTGATGCTGCTTCTCTATGCTTTGCTTTTTAATTTTAATTTTTGTCTTTAATGTATCTTTTGATGCTTCTTGTTGTGGGTTTCCTTTAATATGTGGTGAACCTTGTCGGCCGTCGTTTTTATGTATTTTCTTAGATTTCATATCTCTGTCATTCCAATATTTTGATACTTTTTATTCCAAATATTAAAGATTATCGAACATGTGACATTATTTAATTTTAATAAATTACAGAATTAATATGGTAATCATAATATAATAATGAATAATTAATATGATCATTAATAATAATAATAATCATCATCATCAACATCATCAGAGAGATTGATTGTTGCAAATGTTCCAAGTTTACCCAAGAAAAATTCTGAATTGGTTTCACTCGTAGTAAAACTTCACATAGGAATGATTGATTGTTTGATTGATTGTTTGATTATCGTCATAAAATATAAATGGTGATGACGAAGAAAAACTTCGGTTCATCATTTAGTTTGTACCTCATTCTTTCATTATGCTATGTGCTTTAGGTTCGATCATTAAAGTATTTGCGTTCATTTCTTTAGGTTCGTTCACTAGGGTGTTTGAACCCATTACTTTGGATTCCTCAAGCTGGCTATTCTTTTCCTCTAATAAAGACATTGTCTTCCGTGCCAACGCCACAATTTCGCCTTCATCGGCATCATCTTCGTCACCGGAAAACGGTTCATCGCCTTCGGGGTGAATTGGTAAAACATCAAGACGTGATATTGCATTAATGATAGTTTTCGACGAGGAAATTCGGGCTAATAATTGTTGATCTAAATTAAAATAATTATTAAAACACATATACATTATTAGAGCTGTGTTATAAAAATGTGTACTACGAGAGATCGTCGTCATACCGTCACCCTCCAGGAATTGAACAATCGTCCAAACGGCTATGTGTTGGAATGTTTTGTCTGCACTATCAAGGAAGCGTTGCAAATATCCATGAAGTCCTCCCGCTGGTTGATCCCAAACCTTTACAAATGGAGAATAATCTTGAACTAGTGAAACAAAATATTAGTCTATTGTGTGCCTCAATTCTACAAATGAGTTTTCCCCTCTTACTTTTTGATGACAAATTCCCTAATGCAGCAGCACTATTTCCTTGTACTTCTACACTTTGGGAATTTGTTAATGGGAGCAAAACCCGACATATTCCAAGTTTTAACAAACGAGGCTTTAATTCATCTAGAAAAAAAAATAATATCTATATTTTAAAAAAGTTTTATAAAATAAAAAAATCATGCAGACATACCACTCAACGCCAATACTGCTACACAAGCTGTCATTTCGCTTTGCACGCTTAGGGGAACATTTAGAACTAATTCCCTAACGCGCTCGACTGCCCCAGCATCCACAATTGCTCGTTTATTCCTTTCAGAGCTGGCAGCCAAATTCCTTAAAGTGCTTATTGCATGGCATTGAATTTCTTCGTTCTCCTCATATGCTAAAAGATTTATCAAAGGTTGCAAGAATCCAGCATCAATTATTGGTGATTCATTAAGTGGATGAATGGATATATTTCGTATACAGGCAACAGATGAAAGTATTAAAGGAAGAAATGTGGAATTTAAAAGACGTAAAAGTGGTGGTAATCCACGTGAACGGACAATTTCAAGTTGGTATTTTTCTACAAGCAAAAAATTATTATTAAGAGTATATATTAATAAATAACAGACAATAAGCGTTATAGTTCTGCTAATAATACCATCTGAGGCCAAATTTCGCAGCGCTAAGGCTGCTTGGCATTGTACTTTCAACGAAGTGGAATCCATTAAACCAATTAAGGATTGTACTAGTCGTGTCTCAGTTTGAGCGAGTTTTTTCCGATTGATAGCTACGTCGCATAATCAAGGTGATATTACTATGATTATATGGATGATTTACTAACATCACGGCTTAGAAGCTTACCATCAACAGCAATATTGCTTAGTGCTGTTGTGCAATAATACTGTACATCTGTATCGGGAGAATTCAAAAGGCTGACCAACACTGGTATTGCACCGGCATTAACTAACTGTTGTCTATTTTCATCTGTGGTATTGAGATAAGAAAAATCAATCAAAATAGAGTCCCAAATAAGTTGGCGTGCGAATTATCACGCTTTATATACCAGAGTGTGTCATATTTAGTAATGCACCCGTCGCATTTCTTTGAACGCGCATATCTTTGGAACGGGCGAGACGCGTTAAAGGAACTAAAGCGCCCGATTTTGCTATTTTCGACTTGTTTTCATCTATAAACAAATTAATCAGAAAGAATTTGAAATCGAAATTATTTTAATTTATATACGATCATACCATGCGTTGCCAAATTGGTTATACAGCCAACAGCATTACATTGGACTTCAACATTAGGAGACAACATTTGACGTATCAACGGTTCTAGTCCACCCAGGTCCACGATTAATAATTTATTTTGGGCTAAAATACAGAAAGATCATAAATCAAACGTTGTGCGAATTTCTAACCAAAAAAAAAAGGGATGAAATAATGAACGGTTAGTTACTGTCTACAGCCAAATTTCCAAGTGCGGCCGAAGCAGCTCTTTGCACTTCCACATCATGTGATTGAAGTAGATGCATGATGGGATCCATTGTTGTTCTGTTAACTTCTCGCACATCTAAAAGGCAAATATTTTAGGCTAATAACAACGCTAACAATCCATCATTCTCAACATAATACACTCAATTTAAAGGAAACCTTTTTCTGTGATCTCTGCGAAAGCTAAAGCCGCTGAGCGTTGTAAATCTACGTTATTTGAATAGGCCAGTGTTGTGAGTGCACGTAATGGATCTCCCTCAAAGAAATTTGTTTCGGCTCGGTCTTTTCATGAACATCGTTAAGGTTCGGAAAATATTCAGAAAATTGTTCATTACTTTTGTTTGAAATACAAATCATTAATATACCCTATTGATATCTCACTTTCAAGGTATGTTAATAAATCGGCGACCGCATCCCGTTCATTCTCTTGTAATAGTGGTTCATAAAGCCCGGTTCTGTGCTCTATAGGACAATATGAGAGTGTAAGTTTTATGAAAAATACTCGCAACATATTATTGAGAAGAGACAAACACATACTCCTACCAAAGCAACATGAAAGGCAAACACCCATTTTTAGAGTTATATGTATTTAAGAATTCTAAGAAAACGAAAATTTAATGTAGTTCAATAAAGAATATCAGAGATTTTGCAGTTCTCTTGAGTTATTATTCGTAATAATTGTTGAAATTTGACAGCATTTAGTGAAACAAATTGAAGACTAACAACTTAAGGATAAATGCAAAGGTTTCGAGCGAGACGCGTGAATTGTATACTCAAAGGTATTAGGAATGGTTGGAACGTAAAAGAAGGAGAATAGTCGTTAGACTCTATCCTACTGTTTTGATAGAAGGAAAAAGTAGCTCGAGTTTTTTGACAAGAAACGGAGACGTTGGGCGCTAAAAGACAAGGTGTCACACCATTGAACAATTGAGTAGATCACCCGGTCAATACTGTTATTTTCGATCTCAAATTAAAATACTTGTTCGAAGGCAGCGGATTTTGCGATTTTTTGATTTTCCACGACCTTCAACACGGGAGAATTGAAAGGTTTTTCGTTTTCGTTTTCTATCACTCGAATTGTAATGTGTAATTTTTTACCAAATTATGTGTTCACGTTGATAAAGCCAATTTAATCAAGCAAATCCCAAACAACTACTGTTTAAATATATATAACAAATGTGATGTAATGTGTATATGTGTAATATATATATATATATATATATATTGATAAAAAGATATCAAGCCTAAAAAATCCAGTTTATCATAGTTTTAATAGAATTAGATTTATGTAGAAGACGCGCGTTAATGGGGGGACTTGAAATGTCACACATCAAAGGATTGTATGTCACTTGACAAATACAAACGATCGATATAAATAGTCCGTTATTTTTATTAATTTCTCTTGAATTTAAAATACGTTATTATTATTGAAATGGGCAAACACAAAGATAAATATAGAGAAGGTTCTACTTCTGTTTTTGCCTCATATTTGGCCAATTTACCGCCCGAAGGAACAAATGACGGCATTGGTATGAAAGCCATAATTACATCTTTTCAAATTCTGGTTGGGAATTCATCTGATAATATATTATGTTTTTGATAAAGGAAATGGAGAAGTACCCTTGCCAGATAACATGGTAATTTACGCTTTTTATTCTTCGTCATGACCCGACTGTATTAATTGATGCTTTTTTACCAAATTGAACGTATACTCTTATATATTAGAAAGCTTCCACACTATTGGAACAAATTGGCAAAGAACGTTCATGGTTCGAAGATCAAATTAATGAGGACCTACAGATTTTAGAAATAAATCGCATATATACTGTCAAAGATCTTCGGGTACTCTCACGCGATAGTTGGAAGGTTCGAAAACAATTAATGTTTTTTTATGCCACGCCTATAATTTTCATTTTATGCCTCAAATTTTGATTGGAGATTGATGTTAAAATTATTTATTCTCTTATTCAGCAAATCCAATTTTTACCTCTTGTGAAAGATTTAATTCGCGAGGCTATCGCTCGAGGGCTGCCAGATCCAGGTAGAGATGACTTTGGTGGTTTTTTCCTCATGGGCTAAATCGGATTAAACACTAACTTTATTTCCCTCCGTAAAAGATGAGGAAATCTACAAGATGAGAAAAGCCGAGAAGAAGGCGCAAAAAAAACAAGAGAAAAAGAAAAAGATGGAACGAAAAGAGAAGGAAAAATCAATCAGAAGTAACAATAATAATATCAATAATTTCAATACTAATGATAAGCATCACAACAACAACAGCAACAGCAATAATAATAATAATAATAGTGTTATAGGCAGTATCTCCACCAATGAAAGTGAAAACAAGGAGAAAAATTGCAGTGCTTCATGCTCTTCGTCATCTTCATCTGATGATTCAGATGGTGAATCAGAAGATTTATTGGAAACGAAAGCCTCACCATCCTTGCTTAGTGTCAATAATGCGCTGCAACTATCCTCAACAGCAGTATCCTCTTCGTCCACATCCACGACCGTTAAGAAGTTCGTTGGCCATAATAGACTTAGAATCGTAGCATCAAATGGTCGTGCGTACGAGGTTGATCGCTACTGTCCACATAAAAAGGCGGATTTAGCATCAAGAGTAAATAGCGAAAATCATTTATTTTGGTTTGTTGTCTGATTCAAGTATAAATTGATATTAATTAATTGTGTATCGATGTTTACAGGGAGTAGTCTTGGGCAATAAATTGATATGCACCAAACATAATTGGGAATTTTCGTTGGATCAGGGAGGAAGGTGTGTTCGTCATGGTTCCACGATTAATGCTTGCGCCGTTAATGATTGGTAAAAAAAAAATGCAAAACTGGTTTTTGCTTTTTTCTATTTATTCCTACATCGAATATTCTAACAATATTATCGTGAAAGTATTTAATTACCCTTTCAAATGAATTTCGATATTAAAATTAAAACCTTCACATGCAGCGGATCTTCACCAAAACATTATTTAATATTTCTTAGCAGAACAACATTTCTGCAAATTAGCACATAGTGCATATATACTACTTTTGACTATGAAAATCACCTTTCCTTATTAGTTTAGATTGTGATTATCATTTACTTTTTTATATTATACCATTGATTGGGCTTGGTTTTTTCCTTCCCCGTGGGTCCGTTTGTACAGAAATCAAAAATAGAAAATTTAATGCAGACACATAAAATTTATATTGTTGCATTTGTTTGTAACGAATGCCAAGGCTTTTTTTTTTGGAACTTTATATACTCGTATCGTTAAAAGCTAATTTTGTTCCTCATTGATATAACGAAAGATCAGGCTTTTATCATTCTCGTTAAAACTCATCATGTAATGGTTAACAATGCATGCGCCTCCTACATAAACAAATCATCTAATATAAATCTCATTAAATTTTTCCTGCCTCCTGTGTGTTTTAACAAAATAATAAAATGTCTAATAACTAAGCCAATAACTACGTACATAGCCTTCTAAGTAAATAAATATGAGTGGGAAGGAAACTTTCTATTGAAATTTATTCAATCGATCAAAATTAATCTTTATCAAGCAACTGATATATCTCTAATATTTTATCTTGGCGATTCTTCTTTTATAAATCATTTCTGCCAACTCTCACAATTTATAGGTAATGTGTTGTTTGGAAAATTGAACTGGTGACAAAATTTTCCCAATACTAACAAATACACGCGCCTCGAATTTAGACAAGAGAGATATTACTTCAGCATTGTTATACACACTATTTATTGCTTACCACACCTTAACCTTCGTTTATCCAAATTTCCTTCGAGCGTGATATAAAAGAGGAACAATGCAAAAATTTCAAATCAATCCAACGAGGTTAATCAACCTCTCAGTAAATTATCTTTTATGCTTGACGATGCTGACAACTACATCAATGGTATTCTCCATGCCCGTAATGAAACGCGATGTTGGAAGTGATGTGCTTCAACATGGGCAAGATGACTGTAAGTATTTCAGGTGATTTAATTGGATACTTTGGGGATACAGTTACACAGAAATACAGTTAATAATAATGGGAAGAGTAATAAACAACACCATATATTGATCCGATTATTTCTTTTTCCAAAGTCGAAAGCATTACGGTTCAAACTTCAATTTTTGGAATAATTTTGATTTCAATTGGCCTGCTTTATACATTTTTCGGGATTAGGTTTTTCAAGATTACCGTATTCTTGGTCGGATTCTACATCGGCGGTATGTATTTTCATTCAAAATATAGATGATCGATTTGCATTATAGTTCCCTTGGAATTGATTTATTTTCTTTTGTTTCATTTTTAGCTATCCTCGCATGGATTGTTTTAACGAACGTTGAACCTTCCGATGGCTATGGCAATTCATCTGGTATTATTTATCTGGCGGTTACTCTGGTTACTGGTCTCATTTTAGGATCAATAGCTGTTTGTTGTTCTGACATTGCTATTTATTTATTGGGCGCACTCGGTGGTAAGCAATCATCATCATCATCATCCTCGTCGTCATATCATACCAGAGTAAAAACTAGAGTTAATTCACCAATTTTTTTTTATCGTAAAGGTTATTCACTCGCTTTGTTCGTCCTTTCATGGTCTGACAATGGAGTAATTCAATCAAAGAACGGGCGAATAATCTTCATAATAGTATTAACTCTCCTCGGTGCAATCCTAACTTTTGTATTCGAGGACGCCATCATAATACTCAGCACTGCATTAATCGGTGCATACAGCATCATATTTGGCATCGACTTGTTTGCACATACAGGATTCACCGAATCAGTACAAGAATTTCTGGATGGAAATCATCAGGTTGTGTACAGTGTCGATACGAAAGTTTACCTGATGCTTGCTGGGGTACTTGCTCTCTTCATTATTGGCACGATTTTTCAATGGAGGGTTCATCGTGGGGAATTTGGCCGGCGTCGTGCTGCGAAATCAAAGACAGCTCCTTCTCCGGCTTATTCTACTCCTCCTGAAAATATTACTGAAAAGAAGAAAAAAGGCTGGACGCTTCAATTCAAAAAATAGTGTGAAATTTCCTTGGTGGCATTGGTCAATAAAGATGTTTTAGTTTGGTTCATTTTTTTTTTATTTACAGTCTCTATCATATATAATATCTCAGGAAACTCTCTTTCCTCCTCAACGAAAAATCGTTGTCTCCCTCGTGATTTTTTGATCTCGAAATAAAAAAATTATTCCTTATTTATTTTATCTTGCGCGTGTCAGTGATATATGTATATACTTACACAGATGCTCGCAAAAAGCTAATAATAGACCGTTACGTGTACAAATTTTGGTTTGAACACAAACAATTTATATCAAAAAAGTCTCCGACATTCATTTCATTTGCCAACATATACATTCTAAATGCATTTCAAAAAGATGTTATAATCCAGTTTGATTGTAGGTTATTTTAAAGAAATTATAACAAAACCACATCGAAATAACGATCACAGCATACCAGAACCCAAGCAGTTTCAAAACTTTTTGGACACCTGCATGACCAGCTTTCTCTCTAATGGGTATTGATATACCAAATTAATAAGGTTGTGACAATTGAATTCCTATATGTTAAAGAAGACCTTTAATTTAATTGAAAAACTAAATATATTACAAAAAATAAAATTGCAAACAAAAAACCAAATAAAAAATTTAATTTTGAATTGGGGAGATTTTGTTAATAAATTATTGGTTTTTATAGAATTTTTTTCTTTCAACCATATTTTTTTGTTATTAAAGGAAATTTTTTTAAAAAAAAAACTAGGTAGGTGTAGACTAGGACTAGCTTATTATTGAAGATACTAATCAATTATAGTTTATTTTGATGATAAAAAAAAACTTAGAACTATCTACATAAAAATACTTATAATGAAACCCGATAACCAATATAAAGGAATCAACAATCATAGTAGAACATATGAATGAATGAATGAATCATGAATGGAAGCAAGCAAGCAAACGAATAAGGTGAAAATGCAACTCAAATTTTCCCAGAATGTTCATTTTGCAATAGAAATCCAAATACTATTTATATATAAATACGTACGATGACTACATCAATTACTGGAGAATATTTTCTCGATAGCAATCGAACAATCAATGTACACCGTGAATTGGAATAAGTTTCCGATTTTTAATAAAATGTTCTCCATCGTTATCTTTTTTATTCTGTTGATTACAAGCCAAATTGTACGTTTTCCTAATTCATGTTAATGTCGAAAATAATGATTAGATATTTATTAAAGAATAATCCAACAAACAAAAGATTTTAATTAATGCGTACCATTGCAACTTGAACAGATGAATCTTCTCGCGCGCCAATTTCCCAGAATCGCGCAGCAGGAATACGATAAGCAGTAGATCCAGGAGAATTAGGTTTCTTCTCATCACGATTGCTATCTGTTAGCGAGGATGGCGAAATGAGGTGTGGTGAAGCGATCGTGTAACGTCTACTTAGCAAGTGTGGTGGATGAACAGTTGGAGATGTTCCTTCTACTCCAGCGCTTGATTCGGAAGCACGACGTTGATGGTTAAATCCAACTGGAGTTTCTCGCTCCCTCTCGTTCACGATATTATTATTGTTACCGTTATTGGTGATAGAACCGGTAAGAAACGGTGGGAAAAGAAAAGAGGTGAAACTTGAGGGAGACATTGAGAGTGGTGGACTAGAGCTATAGCTATTAATTGGACTATTATTGTCGTGGATAGAGATAGAGTTTGCGCGAATTCGAAGGTGAGGAGGGTTTCGTTGTTCTACTGTGGATGAGTTGCTGTTATCCTGTTCGAAACTATTGTAAGCGGTTGAGAAACTTAAAAGTGAAATAATTGGAGTTGCCATGTTTTGCAAGTATTTTTTTTGCAAAGTAAAAATTATGTACAAGATTATGGATTTTTACAAGTGTTTAATTTACTGTGCGTGTGATGATATATATATATATATATATATGTATATATGTATGTATGTATGTATGTATGTATATTTATAAAATAAAAAAACGCGTGTCGAAAATATTTGTTTATTTATGTATGTGTGTATAATAGGGATGATGTAAAGATGCCCTTTTGACGCAATTGTACGTTATATATAATGGATGGAAGAACGATCGTGATTTCGTAGTCAATTAACAAAACAAGGTCAAAAATAGATGATATCAGTCGTAATGAAATAATTAAAAAAAAAAACAAAGGTGCAATCGATGGATGATGTATTAGTTTCGTTTAAACGAAAATAATAAATAAGAGGCGAAGCAAACCTTTCAAAGAGTGGAAACAATAAAAAAAAAAAGGGTGTGCTTCGTCGTCGTTGTCGTCTTCTTTTTGTATGAGAGTACGCGTTAGTGTATAAATGATAATACAAAAAGAATGTATCATTTGTCGGATTATTTACAAATGCACGATATTATCGTTATATAGAGATTTTTCTGTGATATTTCGAATGTGATATGACGCTATTTGTTTAAAATGAGAAGAGTCAGCAGGCCTTCTTTTCTATTTCTATCATATTTCTGTCGAACAAATGTATGCATATACACACACTGCGTGCATATATGCGTGAATGCATGCATGATACGGGTATTTTTTTCCCATGATAAGTTCAAAGATTGGAATTTTGTTTTTGGTGGGAAATTTATATTGTGTGTGTGTGTTCATTCATTCATGTTTAACGTATTTGATAAGTTTGATTTTAACCAAATGAATTTTTGATTATTCGACATTAATGGCATAGAAAAAAATCCTCTGTCTCGATTTCATTTCTCAATTCACTAATACTAATAAATAATGAGGTTTGGTTTGAAAACCATTTCGCACCTAACCCATATAATGCGTATTACCCTCCCTCGCTATTGGGCTGGCTGGGAAAGTTATACATGAGACACTTCGTTATATAAGACGTTGAGGTTTGACGGTATGTGTGATGCTTTATCTTTGTTCATACGTGTAACATAAAGTCTTTACGGGAAAAGATTCTACGCATATGGCGTAATCAGGTTAGTGTCTCTCAAATCTTCTAATTTGTAGCTTTGATGGTATATAATTCTTAACATATATAGAAGCTAAAAAAAATTATCACGATGAAATTTCTAGAGATTTCACGGAAAATAATGGATATGCCGAATATACTCGTGACACAACAGATAAGCATAAATAATGTTTTCTTGTGATACAACCTTTTCTTGTGATACAACCCCGCTTTTTTACGAAGTATATTTTCCTTTGCTGGAGTTAGCTATATTTATTATGTTGTGTATCTATCTACAAAGTTTGTCCACAGCAGATTTTTGTGTCTCTTCTTTACACGAGTAATTTATTTTTTCGCATCATTGAAAGAATTAGCCAATTATCAATTAATGATAAAGAGACGGTTTTGTCCATGTTCTGCAAGCATTGTGTAGTATCATCTATTTCCCACGCACAAATAAAAAAATTACCCCATCTCAACAAATAAATTATGATACCCAACAATAATTATCAATATATTGTATCACATTACATTGGTTTCGTATTTCGTAGACGTACACCAAACTTAAATATTTAAGCGCGTGGACAAACAAGAAAAGAACAATGGGAACCAAGATTTATTAAGTTGGCACGTCACGTGAACAATTGTGATTGTGAAGGGAAAAACTTGTAATCTTCAGTATATTATTGACATTACATTGGGATGAAAACTAAACGAGATTTTTTTGCGTGTACGTTTATATGATCGATGTGCAATAACGATAAATACACAATAATATATTAAAAACGAGTTTCATCAATTTACCGTTACACGTTTCAGCATGTGCTTTTAAATTATGGGAACATAATTTTGTTTGCCAATCAACATGATCAAATGATTTAGTGAGTCATGCATCCTATAGGAAACCCTTGCATGAGAACACAGTTACAGAGAGAAAATGAATCAAAATAAACGAGCAAAACCACGGAATTTTCGCAAGAAAGATTCGGACGAAGATGGCTCAGTTTCCATTCCAGGTAATTTTATATAAGAAAAACAATGGTAATAAGTAAGATCCCCCCCCCCCCCCCCCTAATTACCTTATTTCGATCTATTAAATTTGGCGCATAAAACATATTTTTTCTTCTTGTGTATATTTAGTGACTGATGTCCAAGATCCACAACAAAAACTACCTACGAGTTCTAGTACAACAAGTAGTACCCTCAGTTTGGAACAAACGACAAAAGTGAATAAGAAAAAAGTAAAAGTTAATAAGCCAAAATTAGCACTGAGCTTTGAAAATGAAGAGGTAAATAAAAAAGTTATATTTGGATACAATATTTTTTACCTTGAATAAAACGAATCAATAAATTGTTTGATTTAATTTTTGTAGGAGGAAGAAATTGAAGTTTTCAAGGTCACTAAAAGTGTGGCAAGTCGTAAAATGGCACAAAAGAAATCAAAAACTATTTATTTGGATCAGTTGAGTGAATAATTAATTAACAAATAAAAAAAATTACTAAGAATTTTGTTCTTCATTTGGTATTAAATAAAACACGTATTTCCATTTAAGAGATTCACTCCCGCAAAATTTGGCTCAAGCAACAATTTCATCATCAACTTCTTACACAAAAGAAATTTTGTCAGAATTACGAGCGAGTACACATGCTACTCCACCACCGCCCTCTTCTTTTGATCCTCAAGAATTTGATGGCAAGTTAATCAACAAAAAAAAATTTGATCAAACAAATGAAAAGAAATTGATTAAACATTTGTTATTTCGTAGATTTCTCCTCAAAAATACCTGACGCGAATGCTATCCACGCAGCAAAGAAAAAAAGAGAGATGCTAAGACAAAGAGGGACAGCTTCTGTTGCTGCACCCGAGTATATTTCTCTGTCCGAGGAAACCGACGTGCGTATTATCTTGATTTTATCCTCCTAATTAATTATAAATACAAGTTTAAATCATATTTAATTCATGTTTTTTCTTTCAGGTAGTCCCATCGTCGAGTAAAAAACATCCCGAGTCAAGATTAGTACGTGAAGAGGATGAAATTGGCGATACTGATGAAGGTTTGCCTCGATTATTATGAATTGTTAGTTATCTCTCTTCTTCTATAATGTAGTCATCTATTTTTGCAGAGTTAGAACAATACGTGGATGAGAAAGTTGCATTAGGTAGAAAGGCAAAAAAAGAAGAACGATTAAAGAAAAAAGCTGGAATTAAACAAATGATTACAGAAGCGTGAGTAAAATGTAATTAATTCACATCCTATCAAGTTAAACTAATCGATTTAATTATTTTCCAGAGAAGGTGAAGAGGATGAAGAGTTACTGCAATGGGAAAATGAAGCCATCAAAAAGGGAGCGAATCTAGCTTCTAGATCTTCGATTAAAACAATCAGTAAACCAAAACCAATAACGGCTGCATCAAGTAATATAAATTTACGTATTTTTATTAGCTTAGAACATGTTTTTGATCTCACTTGTATTACTATTTTAGTACCAATCAATCTTCCGATACCAAGTTTTTCGGAAGTCGAGTCGAGACTCGCACAAGAATTGAATAATTTACAAGATCTTTATAAAAATCATCAAATGGAATTAACGCAGCTCAAGCGAGATTTCCATAATGATATGGAAGCCAGTGAAAGATATGGATCTGAATTGCAGCGAGCAAAAAAACAATATACTTATTTCCAGGAACTCAAAACATTTGTTGAAGATTTGGTGGAATTCTTAGATGCGAAGGTTTTTAATGGATATATCTGTTTTTATTAAATTTTTAAAAAAACTGAATTGGATTGTTTTATTCTGTTATTTTCAGTTTCCTATTCTAGAAGAAAATGAAAATGCTTTTCTTTCCTGTTTATCTGAAGCGACGGATATGATAATAAAAAGACGGCTACAAGAGGACTCCGATGATCTAGCGTTTATCTTTGGAAAAAGTAAACTTAATCATCTTTTGTTGAATTTTTCTTAAATCAAAATATGTATTATCAACTTATCTATCGCTTTTTGTATAAAAGCCGATGATACACACATTTATCGGCAGCAACTACGTGAGAATCGAATACGTACACTCGTAAAAAATAAGGGACAAGCAGATATAGCGGAAGAGGAGGGTTTATCTACGGATGACGAACTTGAAGAAACAGAAAAAAATGAAATACTATCCAAAATTGGTATTTTAATTAATCTTCCTCAAATTTTTCATTTTGAATAAAATGTCTCATATTTCATAAATTTTCTCTCTCTGGATACAGGATTAATTTCTGAGCAACATACAGAATTATTTAGTGATGTAAGAGATGAGTTTAAATCAATTTCTCTAATAAAGTCAAAATTTGAAGAATGGAAATCGGAGTACCGTGAAGAATATCTTAAAGCTTATGGGGGATTAAGCTTGCCTGGCGTTTTTGAATTCTATATAAGATACGAATTACTTTTATGGGATCCATTTAAGGCACCGTATACTTTCCTATAATACAAATTTATTTCTATTTTACATACTTACATGTAAATATGTATAAAATAAATTAGACCCCATATAAACAGCTGAACCAAATGAAATGGTTCCAAATTCTGTCAGATTATGGTGTCACTGAAATGCAACTAACAGACAATGATGATGATGATGATGACATCCGACTTTTGGGAAAACTTGTGGATAAGGTCATTATTCCAAAACTTTCTCGCATGGCCAACATTTTAAATCCATTTTCCAGCAAACAAATGAAGGCATCGGTGGAAATAATTGATCAAGTGGCTTTTTCAAGTAGTGGTAAAGACTCGCAAAAATTTCAGGTATAAAAGTAATCTAAACTGTTTCGATTCATATTTATATTTTTTAAATTAAATAACTATTAAAATTTTATTTGCGATTTTAAAAGGATTTGATCACATCATTTACTGGTCGGCTCACAAGTATTGTAAATTCAATCGAATATGATACATTGTCGCTGGCTGGAGAATCTCTTTTTCAACCTTTTACTCTTGCATTCCACAGAAATCGGTATTTTTGGAGAAATTTCAAGGTTTACCTTCTTCCAGATTTGTTAAATTCTCATGATTCTGTCTTTTGCAATCAAAATTATATTTATTGCTATTTAATTAATTATTAATTATTATTGAATAGTTGCTTGCAAACCTCCTTTTATGGCGAAAACTCTTACCGCCTGAAAATCTTCGCGCTCTAATAGATCAGCTCCTCAACCGGTGTTTACTTCCTCTTCTCTCAATTAGTGACGTCTCGGAGATTGATAAATATAAAAAGGTATAAAAATAAGTCTGCGTATTATCCTTTTCGTTTATATCATTTATTTCTAATTTAAATTTTCAACAACTTTCTTAGGTATTGGAACTTGTTCCTACTGAATGGATGTCTCAGTCCCTCTTAGAAAAAATAGCACGTGGTACTGTAGGCTTTTGAATAATCCTTTTTTTTTAAAGGAGATAAAGGCCAGACGCTTTAGCGGGAGAAATGAATTTCACGCTTACTAAGTGTCTCACTTCTTGGCGACCTCATCTTACTATGCTGAGATGATGAACATGTTATAAGAGAAGGATGCGTCTTATGATAATTATTCGTAATTATTTATCGGGAACGTTGTTGATTAAAATGAAAAAGTTCAATTAAGCATAATAAATTTCATTACTTTAGATAACCTTGTTTTAAATTTTTGAATTTGAGGAGAATAAATATGTTACTAGCAGGTTTTGGAGGTGGGTTAATAAAAATTTTATCACCTTCTATACTGTACTTTGCCTACTTTCTTTCATTAAATCATCCTGTTCTTTGTAGGTTTATCTAATTGAAGAATTTATGAATTGAACACGGCATTATTGTAAATTGATAGTGCTTTTCATTATTAATAATTAACTCGTTTCATGTTGTAATGACATAAGAGATGCAAAGTATCTTCAGGTGTCTCTTGGCATGCTGGTTATTCTACAATACTATCCCTACGTTGATTTGGGTTAAGATTTTGCTTAATACACAGAACAAGATTATTGCATATGGTACAAGAGATAATGTGCACAAAACGTTTCATTTGAAAATTATTAAGTTCGGGGATTAGTTGTCGATTCACTTTCTTCCTCCCTCCCTATTAAAAAAAAAAACGTAAAATCATAAAATTTTTCATCTGAAAATTACAATTTCGGCTATTAGTGATCAATTGATTTCATCCCTCCCTGACAAAAAATATAAAGAACCTTCTATTCAGTATATCCTTTCATTATTTGAGAAACCTAAAAAGGAATATATCGTTGCACCGTTGTGTATTCGCATAGTTCCATATCCAATTCATAGTTTTATTTTCCCGTTTCTTTCTATTCTGAAACGTGTGTCGGTGCATCGGTGCCAAGAAATAGGGAAAATTTATAACTAAAAAAATTCTTTGAAAGACTCATCGAATTATTTTGCAAAAATACGCGAAAAATCGATTTTTGAAGGCTAATAATTAGTTTTATTTGTTCAATTCCCTCTTGTTAATAATTTAAATGCGAAAAGGAATGAATGCGGAAGAATTTCCTAATAAAGTTAAAAGTGTCATATTAAAAATAACTGTATCTTGTGAAAATCGAAAGAACAATCAATGATTGCAAGATTTCACTTTCCACGACCTGCGTGCATTTTACCATACGATAAAAATGATTTATTCCATTGTGTCATTGTATCTGACTTAAACTTTCGCTTCAATCCCCCATTTTCTGATTCCGATAAAACATGGGAAGATTCAAAAAAAGGGATCATGTGAAATGTTTTTCTTAAGACTATTACCCATGCTTCGTTTTTCACCAAAACCAGAGCAAATAGCGAGTCAAACAGAAGCTCTTTAAATGGCATCCAAGCAATGAGAGTGATTACACGTTATTTTATAGTGATGGTAGAACATGATGAAAGCTTTATTATAAAAAAGGAAAAAAGAACAAAGATATCTCCATGCAGCATGCGATTATTTTTTGCTGCGTATTTCTGGCAGCCCATTTTTTTTGTTCAGCATGTAACTACATTATAATATGAAATATTTTTAAGCGAATAATAATAATAATAATAATAATACACCGTATAGGAGGAAATCGCTTTTTTCCATGAAAATCTTTGTTTCACGATCTTTAAGAAGATTTTTTTTTGTTAAATATGCCATTGTTTATTAAATTTTCGCGAAGAACAAGACGCATGAATTAACCCCACAAAAAGCTGTCAATAACAAATAATACTGATTTTGAATGATGATATCATTTTCATAATGGAATAACATCGAAAAATACATATCGACATATATAGTTCGGGATGAACGCATGTATCCAATCCGTGTATTTAGATTCACTCGAAGAACCAACCAACACGCGTGCTATATTTTACCCCCTAACGATAATTTAATACTTTTTCCTTGTAAAAGAATAAACAAGAATTAACAGAAATGACGAAATCTTCTTTTAACTTTCTACTTTATCTGCAAATCACCCATAGAAATTCTCGATGTAAAGCATGCAAAATTCTTCCTTCTTGTTCAAGGTTCGGAACGAATGCCGTCATTATTAATAGTAATACGCTGAAAATTGCCCTTTTCGGTTTTCTATATGGAAAGAAAGAATATCAAAATCCTGACTGACATGGGGGAATCCATTTTAAAAAAATATGCAATGTTTCAGAATCAAATAAAAAAAGAATACAACATAGTATATTTTTCTATAAGGTGCATTATAGAAGTGTGCACGTAATAATTGTGCTTTTATTAACTGTGTATCGGTATACATTCTTTATTACATTTCAATAATCATGCTTAATTT